ATAATTTCTTTCTTTTCTCTTTTTTCTTTGTTGTAACTTTCTTTTTAAACTTGTGATTGATTTTTTTTAAATCAGAGAATAGATGATACAACATTTGTTTATCGACATAAGTACAATCTCGTCTCTCCTTTTTTCGTAGAACTGGCATATATCTATACAAACAATTCAACGCTGAAAAAAAAATAGTCGAACAAGAGTTTAACAATTATTCGTCAAAACTGATTGAGTATTGATCATTATTATTGTTACTGTCACAGATCCTACACACTACTACTATTACTACCTATGCTATTGTCATCAAATAAAACACACACAAAGTGATTATGATGCCTGTAATATTTGTATGTATGTGTAAGGTGTACGCTATTTGATGATTCTTATCTATCTAATGTAACCAAATTTTTTTTATTTATTCATGTTGTTTCTTGATCTTTGAATAAGTTGTGTGCTATTCGTTTTGCTTCTCTTTTTTTTTTTTAAAAAAAAAGAAGAAAGAAAACGTTTTATTTATTGTCATTGTAATTTCTTGTTGAATAAATTCATTATTGATGTGTAACGCATGTTTTGGCATCCAAACTGATCATTATCATAGTTTATTGTCAAAATGGTATATTATGTATGTGTGTGTATGTATGTATGTATGTATGCGTGTATGCATGTACACATTGTCTTCATTCACACTTTCTACTCATTAAATTGGGTCAATTGTTATTCATGATATTGTATTGGTTATATAGATTTATGGAAAACAACATTTTAGTTATCATAGTAACATTTTAGTAGTATAACTGATAAAATTAAACCAATATAGTGTCACAGAGATAGAAGGAATTCGAATTACCTTATTATAGTTCTCAAAAGTTTGTAAAAGAGGACGTTTTTATCAATAATAGAGAAATTAGGATATGAGTAATCTTTTTTTGGTGTTCAATTATGATCGTATTTCACCATGTTGAAGTTATATTCAGCTAAAGTGATGGATACAGTGTATCATAATGTTTACAATTGAAAAGGTTATCTTGTAAAGTCTATTTAATCGAAATCTATCGGTTGTGTCAGTGATTATAGTGAACGATCATCATAGTTTGTAACTTTAAATGATCTTAATCAAACTCCTCAATTTATCTATTTTGAAAAAAATTCCATCAAAGTTGGATCACCAGGTTGCATTCGTTTTTCCTCTTACGTGTTCATTCTGAATAGAGACTTACTAAGTTATACTACACAGATCACACTCTGTAATCACTGGTAAAATGCAAAGTCTACTGGATCCCCTGAGGAATCATGTTGACTTGTTTAGAATGCATCTTTTTCCTTCTAAATATAAAGTATTGTTTCTGAACTTGTCTGCCCCAAGCCCTAGTTTGGGTATCGTAAGTGAAGTTGACTCACCCATTATAAGAGTCTGACTGGCTTGTTTTGGTGAGTACACAATCTCCACATGGATTTAAAAGGCTCATTTGTCTTTTGCCAACTGAGTCATCCATATTATTGGCAAGATATCATAAATTTAATTTAGTTGGACACATAAGTATTGATACAAAGGGGCACCGATTACATATGTGCCACACAAGTCACTTGATTTGTGTGTGGGCTGTGATACTGCCCGGACGCTCAGACCGAAGCAGGTTGTTTTCTTAGAGGATCACACATGGAGCCTTCGACCTAGTGGTCTGATCCACAAGGTAGTGGAGCAACATAAGGAAATACAGTCCCATGATAGCCGGTGACCAACAGTAGGTTCATACACCATTGGTTTTGAATGAGGGTTTTCTAATTCCTGTGAGTGGATCCTCCGTATCCACCGACCCGGTTACAGCATCGAACATTCTCTTTCCGTCCTCCTAATTTCGTAAACAACAGTAATGTCGCAAGAATGTAGTGAGTAGGACTTACATGGGAGTGGCTGTATACGATTGGCCATGTGGGAGCATTTCGAGAGGGAGAACTGACTCTCCTTACCCCCGTCCGTACCAGGACATTCGGGTTTTTTCCGCATTGGGAGTCGAACACGGGTGGCCTGGATGAAAGTCAGGAATCCTAACCGCTAGACTACGCTTGACCGCTGGACTTTGATGATAACCGACCAGAGGTTTAGAGAAACACTGAAAGAGATTACTTATGAAAACTTACTGTAATTTCGATCATTGATTTTTAACATTAATATGAGTAACTCCATGAAATCCTCATGATTTTGGTAGAGTTGGTACCTAGAGAATAACTTACAGTGTTTGCTATAAACTTATTTATAATTTTTCTAGACATCATTATTTTTGGAGTCAAGTAAATGTTTATTAATAATGTTAGTGGTTGATACTAATGTATCACTCACTCGGTGCTTATCGATTAATAGTCTTCATAAAAGACGATTGACCACATATCTTTTATTACAGCCTGAAGAGTATTGGTATTTATCTGATAATTGTTTTGTGGACCTTGTACTACTTGTCATAATCTAGTAGTATGAAAACGTACTCAAAATATTTAGATCATTTTTCTTAAGCAACTAGTTGTAACCACTTCTAAATAGTTTTTTATCTGTTTCGTAAGGTATAAACGTTATAAATATATGATTATACTGACAATTGAGTTTTTCGACGTAAAGTCTAGGGACGTTCCAGCTGACGAGTCACAAATAGGACGTAATAAGAATCCTGAATTCCACTGCTAGCCACTATCCATTTTTGCTTAAAAAGCTTGTGAATCGAGGCAATATCGAAGCAGTCCTTACAGGTTATACATATGCCAACATGAGACTGATCAATTGCAGTCTTAAATAACAATTGGAAGGTACAAGTAAAACAAGATCAAGTGAATTTAACCAATGTTTGTTCCTATTTATGTGACTGCTTTTTTTCATAGTACAAGAGTTATGATTTACTGTTGACCGATTTTCTCCTAACCTGATTAATCGATGGGCCAACCGGCTTTATGGTGGTCGATATTTATAAATAAATCGACTCAAAGAAATAATCTTTCTTTAGCTCATATTATCATTGAATAACGATTATTATGCTCAATTTCAAAGATAGCTGTGTAATGTTCTTTCCACCATCACATTAAACTAATGGTCCATGTAATATATCCTCTGGATGCTAATTCATTGTGATTGGAATACTTTGGTATGGATTCTACATTTTATTATCTATTTCTGTCTTTCAGTTGGTTGACTATGTCTAATTTAAATAAGTGCCTCAGTAGAACATTCATACACCTGAATGACTAAGTTGTTTAACACTAAGATTACGGAATAAACAGCTTGTTTTTGTAATATGTTGGACGGTGGCTCAATTTTATGGATTGGTTGAAGTTAGACATTAACACCGTTGGATGCCAGCTCAGTGGTCTAAAGGTTAAGCGTTCAGGTGCGTGACTGATAGGTCCTGGCAGTTGTAATACATACCTACGACTTCACAATCGGAAACTAAATTCACAACTTTCGGTCTCTAATGAAAACTATAAATTTCTAGACAACTAAGACGGGATTCGGTGGTGTGTATACCTAACTTCTAGGTGGAGTTTTGTTCTCTGAGTTGGATGGTTTATTTATAGAGCTTTCATTGTTCTTCTGAACAACATCATCAGCACAAACTTCAGGTCGAAGTGAAGTGTTCGAATTCTTCCACATACAACTTACAGCTTGTCCTGTAGACCTTAACCTTGATTGATTATTGTTAACCTATACCCGTTTTCATCTACCTGTTTATTTTGATTGTCTTCCTCCCAAAATCGTTGCTCATTACATACTTTGATATGGATATATACATTTGACTAATTATACTTTGGAAGTGTGTATTATTTACCTAAATCATTGTCTTTTAAGTTCTTATCTTTATATCATAAAATTTCTACAAGCCATTATTTGAATAGATTTTGGACTCTGTTAGTCGATAAAATTATAATAAACAGTCAATCAGAAATACTATAATGTTGTGTCTCCTGTGTTATTAGTCATGGATTTATCCGTTTTCGCGCCAAGAGATCTACAGCTTACATTTCCCACTCGGAAATCCTTGACTGTCATTGGTTGACGGATGTTTTTAGTACGCAGTTTTGTGGCTCTCCCAAAGGAATTTCTATTATTGTATAAATAAGCCTGATTTGTTTGCTTATTAACTTCGTATTTCCCGGGTGCTTGTAGAATACATTCTCTACACCTGATCAAGACTTCTTGATCTAGCTATCAGTGCCGGGGACAACGGGTTAGAATAGCCTATCGTATCATTATATCTTTGATCTTCGTTCCGTTTACCGAGTAAAGTGAACTCGTAATAGCATTCAAGCACATCAACTATAATTTATGGACGACCTTTGAGCAACGCTAAATTGGCCTTGAAAATGTCCACTAGGGCTAAATGAGAGTTTTAAATCTGAATGAAGGATATGGATTGTGATTTACAGTTGACAGTTAGGGATAGGGATTAGATTTATAGTTTTCATCACAAACTGACATTAGCTAAAATGCCAAAATGCTATTTAGCCAAAAAGATAAAGAATTTCACTTGGAAATCCAAGATCTGTTATCATAAATCTGATTGATTCATTCATAAATGATAGTCTCGCCGAAATTATTTACTGTTCTATTATTATTCTACATAATGAGCAATATGTCATAATTGTATGTTGGTACTGGTTAGTTCAATCAGTTTTTCTTTTATCTTTTAAAAAGACGTCCGTTACCTTATTACATTGATATCTTGGTAACTGTTAACCGTTTTCTCTAAATACAGAGAAAGTTGAATAGAATACAACAATAAACATCACAGTTATTTTATTCAGTATTATAATGATTATGTAGAATCTCATACAAACAACATTGACATGTACACATAATTGCGCACAACCAGCTTTCTTTGTTTATTACAATAGTTGCCTTATTACTTAAGTTAGATAGAATGTGTATTACAAACATTCACATAGAGATATACATGAGCACATATTTAGTAGTAATGACTATCTAATACTTTAGCAAAGTAACTAAAATAATAGAATTTAATGATGTTTTATCATAAATAAATGTGGCATTCGACATTTTTGTTAGAACTAGAATTCGCCTGTATTTATTATTGGTTTACTAAACATCATCAAATCGATAGCCATATATGGTTGTTGTTAAGTGAGACAATAAATATAAACTACAGTATGGTGCAATTAGTAATTCTAGCACTCATCAGAACATACTCCAGTTTAATAAAAAGAAAACAACTAAACTTTTGAAGTTGTTTTACTCAATTCACTTGATTTTTACAACAAAATGTCAGAAGATGAAATAAGTGCACTTGTAATTGATAATGGATCCGGTATGTGTAAAGCTGGATTCGCCGGTGATGATGCACCAAGAGCTGTATTCCCATCAATTGTTGGTCGTCCAAGACATCAAGGTGTTATGGTTGGTATGGGACAAAAAGATAGTTATGTTGGTGATGAAGCACAATCGAAAAGAGGTATTCTAACTTTGAAATATCCTATTGAACATGGAATTGTTTCAAATTGGGATGATATGGAGAAAATATGGCATCATACATTTTATAATGAACTACGTGTAGCCCCAGAAGAACATCCTGTCCTACTTACTGAAGCACCAATGAATCCCAAAGCAAATCGTGAAAAAATGACACAGATTATGTTTGAAACATTCAACAGTCCAGCCATGTATGTTGCTATCCAGGCAGTTTTATCTTTGTATGCATCTGGTCGTACTACGGGTATAGTATTGGATTCAGGTGATGGTGTAAGTCATACTGTTCCTATTTATGAAGGTTATGCTCTACCACATGCAATTCTTCGTCTTGATTTGGCTGGTCGTGATTTAACTGATTATCTTATGAAAATATTAACTGAACGTGGTCATTCTTTCACTACTACTGCTGAACGTGAAATTGTTCGTGACATCAAAGAAAAATTGTGTTATGTTGCCTTGGATTTCGATCAAGAAATGGGTACTGCTTCACATAGTTCATCACTTGAAAAAAGCTATGAATTACCTGATGGTCAAGTGATTACAATTGGTAATGAACGTTTTCGATGTCCTGAAGCAATGTTACAACCAAGTTTCTTAGGTATGGAATGTTCCGGTATACATGAAACAACTTATAGTTCAATTATGAAATGTGATGTTGATATTCGTAAAGATCTTTATTCAAATATTGTTCTATCTGGTGGTTCTACTATGTTTCCTGGTATTTCAGATCGTATGCAAAAAGAAATTTGTAATTTAGCTCCAACAACAATGAAAATTAAAATTGTAGCACCACCTGAACGTAAATATTCTGTATGGATTGGTGGGTCTATATTAGCTTCATTATCAACATTTAATCAAATGTGGATCACAAAACAAGAATATGATGAATCTGGTCCAGGTATTGTACATCGTAAATGCTTCTAATTTAACTTTATAACTGTACATTTTATTTTATTTGTTGTTTTTATTCTTACCTTCTTTCATAAGGAACATTATAATCAATCCTGTCTAAATGATTATGATTCCCTCTTCACAAGTTGTTTATTAGTTTTAAACTTTTTTTTCTTTACGATTAAAATTCTTTCTAAAAGATTATTGTCTTTTGTTGTTGCTGATGGTGGTGGTGGTTATTTATTGTTTATTAATTTGAACACATAAATACTGGTACAAGGGGGCAACAGATATATATGCGCCACACGGTGGTGGTGGTAGCAGTGGTAGTGGTGGTGGTGTTTCAAATCTTACGTTCATATAGTAAGAGTTAAACAATAAGCTCTTGTCAACTATCTTCAAATATTTTCCTCATCCGAATATAATTAAAAGATCAATCGAACTTTGTTATTGTTTATTTAGGTTAATTTATTATTATTACTATTTTCTTTTTAAAAAATAGCTGGTCAAAGAGAAAAGGTTTTAAGTTTTTTTTTTAATGTTCAGTTTCTATAGTAATGGCTTATCTGCTCTGAGATATTGGTACATCCAGCTGAATCCGGTGTTCATCTTGCTGTGCTAATGAGGTGCGGCAACTTGGACAAATGCATGTATGTGCCTGGTTCTACGTTGTAACTGACTGACATCTGGCTGATGAGTCCGAAATAAGAGGAAACGCGCGTTCTGGATTCCACTGTTAGTTGATATGATCTTTTATTTGTAGTACTAATCACAACAATAACATTATATTCATGGACTTAAACATAGTAATGTATTAATGTGATGATGATTTGAAGTATTTGAATTATAGTACAAACTAGGAATCCTAACCAAGAACTACTAGATGAGCACGAATGAACTTACGTATTGTATTTGGAATTTGAAATGTAGTATAAAGGAATCATTAGTTTATACAGACACTACAGTTAATCTATAGATTGTTCAATTTTGATCATTATCTTTACTGAAAACAGAACTAATAAAATTTATTTCATACCGATTATGCATAAACTATTGAAGTTAAATTCAATATTATATAAGGTAAAAAAAATATTAATAGTTGAGATCATGAGTCAACTGAAGCTAGATCACCATGGAAAACCTGCAAGCACTGAACGGCCGTTCCGTCCTAGTATGGGACTCCTCCTTGGCACTGTGTATTCACAACCCCGCCAAGCGAGATTCGAACCCAGGATCTACCGGTCTCGCATGCGAATGCTTAACCTTTAGACCACTTAGCCGGGATTGGGCATAAAATGTTATTACCTAATATCTTGATTTGTGTATATTGTTTAAAAGAATTTGATTCATTGATAAACGAATAGGATTTTATTTAGTGAATCTATTACTGAAAATAATATTTCTTCAGTCTATTAATCTTTTTCTAAATGTCTAAATAAGAATCTACACATTACTAATATTATTTAAACATATAAACATTGGTACAAGGAGGCATCAAATAGATATACGTCATATAAATTATTCGAATTGTGTGAAAGCTGAGCTACTGCCTGGGTGCTCGAACGGAAGCAGAATCGCTTAATCAAATCTGAGGAATCATACAGTAAATCCTTCATTTAAAAAATGACAATCAATGGTCACAGACTTGATTGTTCCTTCACTTACATACTGATTGCTTTCTGTTCCCGTTTCTTTTTACTTCTCAACTTTCTGCTGCCAGATATTTTATTTATGATTAGCGTTATATATTACTTATGTCGATATAAGTAGCACACACCGCAATATCAGTGTCTAATAATTCATGATAAAACATACTGGGAAAATATGAAATTTTTATTTGTTTTAAATCACAAAATAATCTTTTAGCTAAACTATCATTAAAAATCTGGAAGTATTGGACAAAAGTTTCGTTCTAGCTTAAGAATTCTCAACAGTGTTCATCCATCAAAATCCTATACTGTTGATAATCATGTACGTATTGAGGGCTAGCTTTAAAATGTAGTACTAGTGAGAATCTGTAACCGTTGATACAATTATCTACACCAGGTAATATAAAAAAAGGCAATACAATATCTTAGGTTGATTACAATTAAACAAGTACTGTTTCGGATTCCTGCTCAACGGTAATGACAATTGAGTATTGAGTTACAAAAAACTAATTGAATTCGATTCTTTATGTCGGGATTGTGAAAATACACTGTTAAGAAGCATCGTACTAGAGCAAAACAACTGTCCATTGATGGTTTATATAAGATCATGAAAAATGTATATTTCCCGAAAACTGGCATTCTCATGTGATATAAACAATTAATCCATTAAATATTTAAAAGAATAGTAAGGTAGAATGTAATTTATTATGAAATCTATTAAGTTAATTGTTAAAACTTGTGAGTTTGTGCCCCTATCAATGTATAAGATAAAAATATAGCCAATTAGAGAACACCGTCTTATCAACAGAAGCAATGATGCATAAAACAAGTACGAGCAGTCTACAATCCTTCTTCTTAGCCAGCTCTGCCTGTCCAGTCAAGAACACCAATCTCAGCTTCTGCAATATTAATCATACTGGGTTTATATACAAACCAAACAGATCACATCAGATTTGTACATGATCTAACCAAATGTGGCTGTGGATGTGGGAGACAGTAATGCATAGTTTATGCATAACTTAGGAATGGTAAATCGTATAATAATGGTTCATAGGTCAAGATAAAGCTTATGATAAGGTGAATACGATTATGAATAGTATAGTTACATAAAAACTATACAATAAGAATATATGTATAGTATTAGTTCAGAAACGGATCCAACACAGTTGCCATTCATTGTTTTCGTCGGGATATAACATTAATATTTACAAAAATATATCATGCATAGTAGTATTTACTTGGTATTGTTTGGCTTGTATCTTCCCATTGGGGTTTAAGACTGCAGTTGATCAGTCTGTTATTGGCATATGTGCATACTGTGCGTATGCCTCGATATTGCCTTAATTCACAAGCTTTTTGTAAGCAATGATGGTTAGTGGCTAGTAGTGGAATCCAGGACGCGTTCGAATTCCAGAATGAACATCAACTCTGAGATGCAGGTACATTCAGCTGATGAGTCCCAAAGAGGACGAAACGCACGTCCTGGATTCCACTGTTAGCCACTATCCATCATAGTAGTATAATTGTGAGTATTTATTTTCTAAATATACTATTATGTAATAAGAAATTTAAAGGTTACATACAACATACAACTGAATTAGTAAACATTAAGATGATTATGGTATTACCATTTCTTTAAATGATGTATGTATACATATATACATATACATATAGTTGAATATTGATAAATCCATTGAAAGAATGTAATGACTATCATGTATATTATGTAATACCAATGTAAACGGCATACACAGTTATAGATAATGTATATAGTATTAAAACTATGTTACAATGATCTTGTTTGAATGTGTTAACAATGAATTACATTGGAATTTTGATTTAACCAAATGATTGTCAATTTCTTTTTTTTTCACTATGAAATGAAATATGAGTATTGAATTAAAACTGATTATACTTTATATTATGGGTTTTATGTGGATATTATAGTAATATTTAATAGTTGATATCAAGAGTCAATGAAAGTTAGAACATTATGGAAAACTTGAAAGTACTGGATGGTTGTTCTGTTCTACAGTGGGTATTCACGATCCCGTCTCATCAAATTCGAACCCACGATCTATCAGCTGCGCAGTGGCTCAGTGGTCTAGAGGTTAATCAACTCGTGCATGAGATCGATATGTGCTGGGTTGGAATCTCGCGAGGTAGGATCGTTGATGCACGCTGTTGATGAGTTTCAAATATTGAAATATTATGAGTAGTTTGTATACTAAATAAACAACCTGAGTTCTTAAAAAAAATTGTACTTCGAAAAGTTTGGAATGTATATGATGATTAGAAATAATTGAATTGATAATACCAAGATTGTTTGATTCACACTCTAGTAGTTAGAATTAGAAAGAAATTGGACAGTACATATGAACGCAGTATATTTCTCAATTCAAATCAGATGAGAAACGACGTATGAAGGTGTTAGTAACTAGTTTAAACATTACAGTGAAATAATCGAGTTCTCTTTAAATTACACTTTACTTGTGGTAAAAACAGTCATTTCGTCATTGTTCCCAATATTCAAATATCTCCAGGAGTCCTCAAAAGTTAGAATGTGTATTTATTTATTTATTTATTTAAACACATAGACATTGGTACAAGAAGGCAGCACATTGATAAATCATTCGATTTTTGTTAGGGCTAGGATACTACCCTGGTGCCCAGACCGAAGCAGATGAGTTCCTTAGCAAACCACACCCCAAGCCTTCGACCTAAAGGTCCAATACATAAGGTAGTGGGGCAACGTCAGGAGATGCAGTACCATGACAGTTGGTCACCAACGATAGGTGATGGTATCCGGCTAATGGATGTTGAGTATCTTGCGTAGACAACTATTTGTAAATGCTTGTACCCTGCTGATGATGGTTGTACTAAATCTCTAAGTTTCAGCTCCGTACACTAGAACAGTCTTGACGTTCGTATTAAAGATTCTGACTTTAATATTGATTGATAGCTGTTTTGAGTCCCATATATTCTTCAACTGTAGGAATTCTGTTGTTGCTTTGTCAATCCTCCTCTTTACGTCTGCATCAGATCCTCCTTGCTCATCGATGATGCTACCCAGGCACGTGAAATATTCCTGTTCTTCCGTAGCTTCTCTGTCGAGTCTGATCTGGTTGGTGTTCTCCATGTTGTATTTGAAGGTGTTGCTTTTTCATTTATGTATGTTCAGGCTTACTGATGTAGAGGCTGCTGCTATTCTAGTTGTCTTCATCTGTATTTGTTCGTGTGTATGGGATAGAAGGTCCAGGTTATCTGCGAAGTCCATATAATCTAGTTTTATCCAATCTGTCCATTTTATTCCATACTTCCCTTGAGATGTGAAGGTTTTCATAATTCAGTCAACCACCGGAAGAAAAAGAAAGGCGGAGAGTAGGCGGCCTTGTCTAACTCCAATCCCTATGTGGAATGCGTCTTTCAGCTAACCTCCATACACGACTTTATTGTGGTGTAAAAACATTATTACATTTACTTATACTTCAATGTTGAATACTATTTAATGTTAAAAGATAATAGTAATCATGATGTCATTACCAT